ATATATATATATATATATATATATATATATATATATATATATATATATATATATATATATATATATATATATATATATATATATATATATATATATATATATATATATATATATATATATATATATATATATTCAAATTAATACATTTTTTTTTATTTTTAGTAAGCCAATTTGTTTAAATAAGGAAAATGCAAGTAGGCTGAAATCATTTATCCTGTAATTTCAATATTTGAATCAGAATAGTAATTAAAATAAAATATAATTCATATAATATTTTTATATTTTAAATGTTTAATTCATTTATGTAAAAATATATTATGTAAACATTTTCATAATTTATTTTCTATAAAGCTGCTGTCATACAGTATATGCTCTCTATTGACAACAGTTATTTCTAAATCAAAGTTCATAAAGGAAAAGTACATTTTCATTAATTCTATTATAATATTTTTAACAAAACAATAATATAATGAAAATAACATTAATTGGAATATATATTGTAAAATATGGGGCATCATGGTGTGTTTAGCACGGTCATCTCACAACAAGAAGGTTGCTGGTTTGAGCCTCGGATGGGTCAGATGGCATTTCTGTGTGGAGTTTGCGTGTTCTCCCTGTGTTGGTGTCGGTTCCCTCCGGGTGCTCCGGATATATGTGGATACAACATGCGGTATATGTGAATTAGGTAAACTAAATTGGCCATTGTTTATGAGTGTGTGTGTGAATGAGAATTGTGTATGAGAGCGTATGGGTGTTTTTCAGTACTGGGTTGCAGCTGGAAGGGCATCCACTGTGCAAAACATATGGATAAGTTGGTGGTTCATGGCGACCCCTGATAAATTAAGGGACTAAGCCGAATGAAAGAAGGAAATTGTAAAATATGTACATTATACAAATATCATGTGTTAAATATATTTTATAAGTATTTTAAATATTTTACTTTTTAATTTGTTATGAATTAACTAAAAGTGTCAATTTAGCAGTTTTTCTCATGTGGTTTTGGCATTATGACAAGTCAACAACACTCAGCATGCTCTCATTACACTCAGGCCAAAATACAGATCTTATTGGGGGTATGGTGTCCTGTTGCTCAGTGTAATGCTAACGTCTCCATGAATTGGGGGCATCACAAAAATACAGAGCAGTGGGAAACATTTTGAGGCCATTCAATCAATTACATAGATCCTCTGTTTAGTGAGCCAACTTTTTCATCAGCTGGTCCTCCAAAGATCTTTCATGAATTCCTAATGGCATAAAGTATGTCAGAAGTGGTTGACTTTAAATAAGAATCAGAACAGAAGTTGTTTAATGTGATTTCCTGATATGATGAATGCCTGATGGCCAGATCAGGAGTTTGTTTGGTGAGGTCTGGTTGATTAGAAACGGGAATGGCTGAGAGACGCTCTGGACTCAAGGGGTTCCCAGTTTAGCAGGCAGCTGCTGTGTCCTACATCTGCTCAATCTCAACCAGAGAAATGTGGAGTCCAGAAGACTCACCATCATGTAAACAATCTGCTTCTATATCTGACAGACTGCAGGTCAAGTTGAAGTTACACAACAGCTCTGTAATCCCGCAACTGTTCTGCTTGTCAGTGAATTGTAAAAGAATGCTAATGGAATTCAGAACCAGTCGTGTATTGTAAATTATGCTGGGTTTTATTAATCCAGTGTTGAATTTAAATAGGAGAAATAAAAGATTGGGTTAGGGTACATTTTTAAACCCAAATGTTAGGTTTGTTCATACTTGACCAAGCATTGGGTTCTAGTGTAAAGTGACCAATAATTGTTACAATCCAGCCATTTGGTTAAGAAGCGTCATTTAAATTGAATTGCAAAACATTAACTCAACATTGGGTTATGGCAACCCAGCATTTCTTAGAGTGTAACTGTTCTGTTCTGCTTGTCAATAAATTCTAAAAAGAAGGCTAATGGGATTCGGAAACAATCCTATGATTCTAACAAAAAATGCTAAAGTTTATTGCAAAAAAATTTACCCAGTATTGGGGTTGTCCATATTTGACCCAATGTTGGGTTACGACAACCCAGCATTTTTTTAAGGGTGTAACTGTTCTGCTTGTCAATGAATTCTAAAAGAATGATAATGGAATTCAGAACCAGTCGTGCATTGTAAATTATGCTGGGTTGTATTAATCCAGTGTTGGGTTAAATAAGGACAAATGCAAGATTGGGTTATATTACATTTTTCAACCCAAATGTTGGGTTTGTTCATACTTGACCAAGCATTGGGTTCTAGTGTAAAGTGACCAATAATTGTCACAATCCAGCCATTTGGTTAAGAAGCGTCATTTAAATTGAATTGCAAAACATTAACCCAACATTGGGTTATGGCAACCCAGCATTTATTAGAGTGTAACTGTTCTGTTCTGCTTGTCAATAAATTCTAAAAAGAAGGCTAATGGAATTCGGAAACAATCCTATGATTATAACAAAAAATGCTAAAGTTTATTGCAAAAAATTAACCCAACACTGGGGTTGTCCATATTTGACCCAATGTTGGGTAACGACAACCCAGCATTTTTTTAAGGGTGTAACTGTTCTGCTTGTCAATGAATTCTAAAAGAATGCTAATGGAATTCAGAAGCAATCGTGTATTCTAAAAATGCTGGTTTGTATTAACTCAATGTTGGGTTAAATAAGGACAACTGCAGGATTACATGGTGAAAAATGACATTTTTAAACCCAAATGTTGGGTTTGTTCATACTTGATCAAGCATTCGGTTCAAGTGTAAAGTGACCAACAATTGTCACAATCCAGCCATTTGGTTAAAAAGTGTCATTTAAATTTAATTGCAAAAAATTAACCCAACATTGGGTTATGGCAACTCAACATGTAATAGAGTGTAACTGTTCTGCCTGTCAATAAATTCTTAAAGAAGGCTAATAGAAGTCTATGATTCAAACAAAAAATGCTGGGTTGTTTTTGTTGGGTCAAATATGGACAAACCCAAGAATGTGATATTTGTAAATTACAATTTTAAACAGTTGGGTTTGTTCATATTTGACCAAGCATTGAATTAAAATGTAAAGTGACCAATAATTGTCATAATCCAATTTGGTGGAAAAGTGTAGTTTAAATTTCAGTGTAAAAGATTACCCCAACATTGGGGTTGTCCATATTTGATATTGTCCATATTTGATTCAATATTGGGTTACAACAACCCAGCATTTTTTTAAGGGTGTAACTGTTCTGCCTGTCAATGAATTCTAAAAGAATGCTTATGGAATTCCGAAGCAATCGTGTATTCTAAAAAATGCTGGGTTGTATTAACCCAGTGTTGGGTTAAATAAGGACAAATGTAAGATTGCAAGATTAAAAGTTACATTTTAAACCCAAATGTTTGGCTTGTTAGGGTAAAGTGACCAAATAATTGTCTCAATCCAACCATTTGGTTAAAAAATGTCATTTAATTTTAATTGAAAATAATTGTTCATACTTGACCAAATGTTAGTTTACAATGACCCAGAATTTTTAGAGTGCAACTAATCTGATTGACAATAAATCCTAATTGATTGCTAATGAAATTTGGAACCAATTCTATGATTAATAAAAATGTTGGGTTGTATTTTTTGGGTTGAAATGGACAAACCCAACAATGTGATATTTGTAAATTACATTTTTTAAAAATTGTCCATATTTGAAAGTGTAAAGTGACCCATAATTGTAATTGTCGCAATGGTCGGGCTCTAAAGTGAAAATTACATTCATTTTCTATATAGGGAAATGGATTTTTAACAAAACTAGCTGTGAGCTCTGAAAATGCTGGGTGATAATAAATTAATGTTGTGTCAAATATGGATAAACCCAGTGTTAGCTTAATTTTGTACGTTTCATTTAACAGAATCTGATCGTCGATTCTGGTGTTTTGTGACAGTGGGTGGAGCCAAAGACCTATTTTTAGCATGTTTCTCAATACAACGCTCTAATTAGTGGAACCTCTGAGCAGCATCATAATGTAGGTTTGTTTTGCACAAATTCCACTATTAAACACATTTGTTTAAAAAAGGAGTTGAGTTCAAGCAAAAATATGGGTAATAAAACTGATAAACAATCCCTTTAACTAAAATACAATCAAATATATTGATGGTGGCGCAGTAGGTAGTGCTGTCGCCTCACAGCAAGAAGCTCGCTGGTTTGAGCCTCGACTGGGTCAGTTGGCGTTTCTGTGTGGAGTTTGCATGTTCTCCCTGCGTTTGCGTGGGTTTCCTCCGGGTGCTCCGGTTTCCCCCACAGTCCAAAGACATACGCTGTAGGTGAATTGGGTAAGCTAAATTGTCCGTAGTGTATGAGTGTAAATAAGTGTATGTAGATGTTTCCCAGAGATGGGTTGCAGCTGGAAGGGCATCCGGCGCGTAAAACATATGCTGGATAAGTTGGCGGTTCATTCCGCTGTGGCACCCCCAGATTAATAAAAGGACTAAGCCGAAAAGAAAATGAATGAATCATATTGATGTAAATATACATATACTGTAGTAACCAAGGGAGCATTTTCGTTTTTTATTCAAGTGCTAAAATAACTAAGGAATAAACTAAACCGTCATAGACATATTTGATGACAAAAACAAATACATTATACAGTAATAAAGCTCTAACGATACTCCAAATACATGTACCAACAAAACTAGGGTGTATTATCCACTGCAGTATGTGTTTGTTCGTAACCTGTATTGACCCACTTTCTTGCCATCAGTTTGTTTTCTTTGATATATTAAACATGCTCATTAGTACTTGTCATTTCTTAAATGTCAAGCACAAGGTTACAAGGAAGTGGCTATAAAGAAAGAAGACTAACTAGTAAAACAAGTGCTGGCACACTATTATGTTGATATAAACTGTCCTCATGACAGATCGACACAGGTAGGTTTTATTTACAGCAACTTTTGTCGATTATAAGATGGATTTCACTTTTTAAAATGAATCTTATTACATTATTTATTCATTCATTGGTGCATGATGTGACATTACTTTTGTGTTTCATTATATTTCAGATGCATCATTATTCAACAACATTCTCAGAAGTGAAACCAAAAAACTGCAAAAGAAAATTGACGAATCTTGAGAGAGAGAAAATCAACGATAGATCATAAATAATATGTGATATAAAAGTGCTCTGAAACAAAAGAAGACTCATTGAATCTCTGTATATTTTAGATTCTAATCCAGCAGTTGGAGACATGCAGGTTTCTTGATTTTATCTTTGCTGCAAGTTTAAAATAAAACATCTCTGAAGCCAATGGAAGTGACACTGACACCAAAGACTTTGAGAGCCCCAGAATGGCCGCAAGAGGACCATCTTTCCAGTTTGAAGGCTTTAGCTGAGAAGTTAAAACTGGAGACCAGAAAGACGTCGTATCTGGACTGGAGAGCTCAGCTGGAGGTGATGCTAAACCAGAGCCACAGAGATGAAAATATTAAAAAAACGGAGAAACCACACACAGAAAACACACTGAGGAATCAATCAGGACACATACGAGGGTTTGGAAGTATTGATCAAGCGCTGGAGTGGCTCAGGAAAGAGCTGGTGAGTTTGTCATACTTCACTTTAATGGGAAACCATTAATATACAGTTGAACACAGTGCTTTTTTCAACATATTTAAAAAATATATATTTTCCTTTCATTGCAAAAATGACAGTGCATAATATTTTTTTACTTATTTTGTCAGATACTAGTAGTCAGGTTAAAGGGGACCAATTATGCAAAAAAAACAAAAAAA